TTGGACAGCTCAGTTTGCTCTCAGCCCGTGGCACGGCGCTTACCACCTGGCTTTAACACTGCAACCTATTCCAAGAAAAACGAGAATCCGAACCGAACGAAAGCAAAGGAAAAAGACAAGGAAGCTGCGATCCCGGCATTGGTGCCAGTCTTGTATTCAATGTCGCCGAAGCCCCGCGAAACGGAAAGGCCAGCCAAGCCGGTGCCCTGGCGAGAGGGACCAAGCCATAACGATGCACAGTGACGAAAGCTTTGGAACCTGGCAAAGCTGCACAAGCTGCAAAAACATGTTGCACCTGATTCCTGCCTTGGAAGAAACTGACTTGTCTGACACACCGCCTGCCTTCTTGCTTGGCAACACGATGCGCCAAATCCCGCTGGCTTGCACCACCGCCTGAAGTGACATCGTTGCAAGCGAAAACCTGAAGAAAGGAGAAGTACCAGGCACCTAACTTCCAATGTTTGGCTGCTTGCTTAGCCAATGCTATTTGGGACCCTGGCAGCGCCCTCGGATTCAATGCGCTTGCGCTCCCCGGGCACGTCAGGCCTGTCAAAAGTAGGACGCTCTTGGCTCCCACTGGCACAAGTAAACTTGGGCCAAGGCGTGTGATCTTCAGACAGACGAATAGCTCTGCAGTCCTGGCGCCCAAAGACGAAACCTAAACCCTGGCGCCAGCGTCCCTTAAGTTCTCCTTCCGGCCCAACACAGCTCGACTGTCGCCAGCGTTGGCCACAGCCAGTCGCAAACGTCCATCCTTGCAGGACAGCCCAACCCCTGACGCGCACAAGAGCATGTGCCGCGGCCTCGTCCGGACCATAAAAGGTACATGTGCAGGCGGTACTGCCTGGGCACATACCGTGACGCACCCACCACGCCAAGATTTTCACGGCCATGTGTGACTCAGCCTGCGTTTGCCCAAGCAGCCGCAGGACCCGCCTCTAGCCTGCATATTCACAACTTAGGGACCGGTCCCACGAAAACGTCTGGACTGCACTGAGCCTGTTCGCATACTGGAAGAAGTTGTGCTCAGTGGTGCGGAACGCGGCTTGCAGCGCTGACCGGATGGCCATGTCGCTGCCAACCTGATCACCAGATATCACCACACCCCTGGACACCAATGTGGGCCCCTTCCCTCCATTCCCAGGCTACAGGAAACAACACCAAGGGATCAACTGGATAGGGAGATATGATTCCGTTCTCGGAAGGCTTTGACCCACGGCGGGCGTCTCGCTGACTTCGGAAACGCGAGCACGGCTACTGCAGCGTTCTGGCAGGACCAGGATGAATCGCGTGGCTTTGGAAGCAAGACAATTCGAACAAACAACTAACGCCGCAAAATGCCGCAAAAGGCAGATTGGGAAAGTTCGGGTCATTCAAATCCGTTGGATAGGAGGCACGTACACCATGCAAAGAGGTATCGAACATAGATGAACATAGCACAGCAAGCTTCCACGGCCTCGCGCTTTGTCTGATGCCTGATGCATTCAAAGACCTTGGGCAATCCGGTCGGACGTTTGCAATGTGCGACGTTTCGCTCCGCAGGCGTGGTTTCTGTCGTCCTGTGCTCTGGGCGATGCGGTCCAGGTTGGTGGCAACAAAGTCGCTGCAAGATGCACCTCGGGCCAAGCGAGCCAAAACTTGCGGAAGCCTGGACCATCTTTGGGCCGCGAGATGTGGCGATCGGCCTGAGTGGCCATCGAAGACGCCGAACAGCGACACGACCACCTTCTTGCAGTTGGCACCTGCACGCAGGTCAAAGTTGTCCATAACGCCTCGTGCACGATTCCGGAGGCCAGGTGCCCGGCCCACATATTCAACCGGAATGCCAGCCCGAATTATCATCCTATCCTGGCGCCACGCTGGGCTTGAACGAAGCGTTTCAAGCAAGCAGTCCGTCCTCCATTTGTGCTTTGCCAACTCCTTTCTCCTGGCAGCTGTTTAATGAAGCTGCTTGCGCTTGCAGGTAAAATGTCAGCCCTGCCTGGAAAGTGCCGATCTGCATGCCGTTTGCCCTGGGCTGAGTCGGCATGCCACGGGCGGTGACTTGCATTGCCATAAAGCCTCGCTCCGGCTAATGTTATTGGTTTGAGTGCGCCTTCTGGCTCAGGCAGGAAAAACGCGGCGTGAATGGGCTTGGCCCGGCTTCACCCGCGTCACGCGCTTCGAACACCTCACGCGCCTAAATAAGGATTCGCCTGTGTCACGACTTTGTCGCGCAAATGGTACCAATATGTAGTGAGCTGGTCATCGCGGAATGCCAGCCATGGCCCCCCCTCCCGGGCCACCCGTGTGCGCCGGAGAAGCCGTGAGGCCTGCATGCCGCACACGCTTCAATTGAAACATATTGAAACCTCATGGACACATCGGGAAGTTGCAAAGTCGCAAAGTCGCAACAAAAAAGCCTCCTCTGGCGGCAGCGGCTGGCCAAAGCGGTGCAAGCGGCCCATGTTGTCCAAGGCCAGCTGCGAGTGCCGCTGCCGGTGCCCGTGCCCGTGGCGCTCGAGAAACGCCTCCACGCTGAAGAGGTCACCTGGAAAGCCCAGGCTGTGGCATGGCTGACCGCTTCAGTACCACCCCCTCCGAATTCAAGCCTCGCTACGCCAGCTTTCGGGAGTCGAAGGGCTTTGTCTTCCCACTCTGCTGATGCCGTTCTCGACATTCAGTCGGCCGAGCCTTCCTTTGATATAGGATGTTGGACTTTCGGACGCAATGGCCGAGCCACGTTTCCACCCCGGACTCTTTGTGAAATTTGCAGCCAAGCAACAGCAGTCCTCACAAAGCACTTCGGCAGGCCTGTCCTCGGGCCGAACCAGCTTGCAGGCCTACAAACCCGTACAAACCCGTACAAACAAATCCGAAAGCTGAGAGCCAAGCTGGATACTCAGAGCAGTATAGGCTCAAAACTCGGCAATGGACATGCCGCAGCCCCGGGTTGCGCTGCAAGGCGCCCTCGTAGCCACGCTCGCTGAAGTATTGGCCATTCACCTGGAATATGATGCGGACGTGCAAAGAGCGCAAGCCTCAGGCCTGCGGTTCAACAATCTTCTCTGCCAAGCCACCTCATAGACTGCCAGCTCATGTGGAAAAACCGAACATACACACCTGGGATGATTCATGGCACAGCCTTGCAGCAACGGATCAAGAAGAAGACTTTGAGATGTGGACAAGCATCGTTGGCAGTGCCCATAAGTGAACAATGCACCACTGCACATGCACTGCCAGGACGCGGCCGGAGACTTGAAACGACTTTTTTGGCCAAGACGCTGCTGCACTTTTAGTGGGTGGTGCTGCTTGCGCTTGCCCGACGCGTGGCACTTCTGGAAACCTTCTGCAGAGAAGAAGTCCATGCACTCCTGCACAAGCTGACTATCACCACCGCCACCTGCCATGGTACTCCTACATGTAATTTACCATGATTGTCCGAGCGGCCAAACAAGCAACCCTCATCTTCATCCTTCGTCACAGGCAAACTGTGTATCTTTTTTTCTTTCTGGGGGGAGGGGGTGACGCTCAACATAATGACATGCTCAGCACAAGCGTCTTCTACTCAAGGGCCCGCCACAGACAAGCCACTTTTCTGGTAGGTTCGGTCTAATTGGTCAGTATCCCTTGTCCATGCCTATGTGCGCAACTCTGTTTGGAAAAGTTGCAAACATGTCAAGAGTCAGTTTCCGCAGGACCACCAAACACTTTTGGCTCACCACTTGCCGGACCGGCGTGCTACGTGGATTCAGGGTTCGACGACACATCTTTTCCGGACGGTTCGTAAGGTCCACTGACGCTGGGATCCCTAGCAGTCAACCTACCGAACAGCCTGGCCCCAGAAATCAGACTCATGAATGATCTCCCCCGCCCAAGAACACGTCTGCACCGGCTGCAGCGCGGTTGGCATTCATGAAAATGTCAATCACCAGTTGACCACGCAGAAACTATTTCTATCTGATCTGATTGCTTGGAAATTAAGGCAATGCGTTGCTCCGGTTGCTCCTCACACTTCATGGTCGCGGCCACCTCCGTGAATTCCGAGCACATGATGACGCCCTCCGGCCGCGCCAACTCGTGCCGCAGCTGCTCCGAGCGCAGGTGCCGGATGAAGGCGTCCACGTCGGCCTTCTGGCGGGTGGCCACTGAGATGTCGTACTGCTCCTCCGCGAAGGCCTCGATGGCCGTCTTCACCTGAGCTCGAGCGCACAGTTTTGTACCTCAGCGCCTTTGGCGCTTTTCAGCCCTTCCCTTGCCGCCTTGTGCCGCCTTAGCCAAATCTGTGCTTCGTGCCTTATGCTTTGCATTGCCGACCGAATCGATTCGGCGCCTTGGTGGCCAGTGCGAAGTCTTCGGTGGTGTCCACCGCCAGCAGCAGGGCCGCGCGCTCCAGCAGCTCAGGGGTGACGGGGGGCAGTTCGCGGTGGCAGCGGTTCAGCGCCTCATTCAGCACCAACGCCAAATGGCTCCGGATCTTGGCTGAGCTCCTGCACGGGCATACGGCCCTACGGAAGCCATAGCGGCATACATGGTGGTATCATTTGCAATTTCTAAGATTTTGTCAACCATAACCCTTGCATATGAGTCAGCGTCAAAGATTCTGGGGTGTATTCATTCCGATGTTGGGACGTCCTGTATTGTTTCTCAAGCTTTGTTCTCAGGTTTTGAGGAATCGCTTTTGGGCTTCTACTGGGAGCTCTTTTGCACCACCTGGCCCAACACTTGCATCTTGCATGGTTTCACCCCGATGCTCCTCAGCGACTCCTTGGATGCCAGTACAGAGTAAAAACGCCGCAAGCGCTCGGCATAGTCGTGCAGCCGGTGGAGCACGGGATGCTTTCGAGTAACCAGCTTCTTGCCCTCGTGGTAATAGGCAGGTCTGCCAGCATCATCCTCAAACGCCACCCAGCCAATAGGTAGCTCTACACGTAAAGCAGCTTCTGAAAGCCACCCCAACAAGTCCTCTGTTTCACTCACGGCCCGGCCCTCGTCGCCCTGTTGGCGCCCAGAGTCTACTGTGACTCGAGCTGACACAAGGCCTGATGTTGCCTTGAGCCTCATGGGTGTCAGAGCCGACCCCGGCTCGCACACACGCGATGGGTTTGCCCATGGGCTGGGAGGGCTGGGGCTGGAAGGGCTGGGGTTGGAAGGGCTGGGGCAGGAAGCGCTGAGAGAGATGGGGGGGATGGGGCTGCCAGGGGCGCTGCCAGGGGCGCTGCCAGGGGCACTAGCGGCACTGCTGGGGGCGCTGGGGCCTCTGCTGGGGGCGCAGGTGCTAGCAGTGCTAGCCGTGCTAGCAGTGCCCCGAGGCCAAGGATGGCAGTCAGCTGAACGAACCCGAGCCGGCCCGGAGAACGTGGGAACAGCCGGCGTCGTCGCCTTGACCTCCGGGCCCGCTTGTAAATCTTGTAATACCTCGGTGAGGTGCTTGAGGAAGTAGCCCTGGTGCCCAGGCTGGCCGACCAAATGCCCGAAGGCCCTGTCACCCTCATCCCTCAGCACCCGAATGGCCATACTCCTCTTCAGGGCAAGCGGAGTTCCCCAGGCCTCGGGCCACCGGATAGTCTCAGGCTCGAAGTCGGATAGGCTAACCACGACTCCGCCATTCGGGAGCTGCCATGGCCCCGGCTGCTGTTGCGGCTTGGGCGCCGAAGCCGCGCCGCCCATCCGGGTGTCATGAGCTCCCTTTACACATGGCAGAGATAGGCAAAGCAACTCCAAGCTGAAGGGTGTCGTGGCTTCAATTCCAATGTTGGCTTTTCTGAACTTGCATGTTGGTCCCTGGCGCGAAGCCTCTAAGACTCTAAGACTCTAAGCTGCAAGCGAATGCAAGAAACAAACGCTTGTCCCAGTCTGCCCCTCCGCACTCCAGGCTCGTGGCAACAATTTCCGGATCAAGGCCTCCCTCTGACCTCTGCAAATGGCTTTCGAGGTTTTGCTATGCGCGTGGCAGGACTGGAAGGGCTCGGGCTGGCAGACCACTTCTCTGGCAAGCCGCTGGCCGAGCGCACCCCAGCAACCTGGCCCGGCCCCATGGCACAGCAAACAAGACAAGCCAATGCTGCCGAGAAACGCAAAGTGCACCCTTCTGACTCGCTCTCTCTCTCTCTCTCTCTTTTTTGGCAGGGCCGAGGGGACCAGAGCTCTGCCATGTGAGACGCCGCTTCACAGGGTTCTGACCCGACAGCCGACAGGGGGCATGAAGACAACACTGCGCGGCCCTCACATGGCAGCTAGAGGAACGCTGCAACGAGTCTGAATTCAAAAAAAACTTCGCCGTACTGGGGCGCCATCGCGCACCGAACGGACAGGAGCCTGGGTTCATAGGCTGCCTGACAAATTGCGCTCGACATCCATGCCCTTTTCTCAACTGTTCTGCGGAGCAAGTGAGCAACTCAAGCTTTTGGGTGCAGCCCCGTCATCGTGTCACAACCGTTCAGTCAAACTGTCGGACTCGCGAAGCCACAGCTGTTGATGGAAATTCACAATGAAAAATGAATCAACGAAAACTCCCTTGCCCAGAGGACTGGAAACAAAAAGGTTAACCTTTTGGAACGTTGACTAAATGTGGAAGGCTCGAAGGTCGGCTTTGGGAAAGTGAGTCAACGCAAATAACTAAAATAATGTTGTGGGTGGGAGTTTGGGCAGGTGCGTGTGGGCGCGGGCTTGTTTGTGTAACTTATTAGCAACTTGAAAATGTCTTTTTCGTACCTCCCCCAACAAGCTCTTCGGTGTTGCCCTCTGCCACTTACCAGATTGCATTTAAAAAACAACCTTCCCAGCACTGTGGCTGCTCTCTCCAAATACGTTCAAAATTGCTGGACCGTGGCCGGGCTGCACCGCGGGCGAAGAGCGCTCGCAGCCCTCACCCACCCACTTCGCTCGAGGTGCGAACTTCGCACCATCAGCTCATGCATCAAAGATTCTGGTCAAAGGAAGTTTAGAAGGATGCTCCGCAGTACGGACAAGGTAGTTTCGCGCAGACAAGATGCGAGAAAACATGCTTGGCTGTGTGACGGGGGAATAGACATCGCGCAAAAGAGCGACCCTCTGCGCGTTTTGGCGTTGATGGCACGGTGCGGCGTGAGCTTCTTGGCCCACGGCACATTGGCACGGTAACGCGATGGCTTCGCAAGGTTTCAGCTGCGTGGAAGGCGTGGCACCCACCGATTTCGTGGCAGAAGAAGCACTTTTGCAAGGTCAGGTAAGGAGCGCGTGCAGGCGCAGCTCTTTCGCAAGGTCGATAGATAGAGATAGATAAATAGATGGATAGATAGATGGATGGATAGATAGATAGATAGAAAATAGATGGATGGATAGATAGATAGAAAGATGGGTAGAAAGACAGATAAACATATGAAGAGCTAAACAGATAAACAATAGATATAGAGAAAGAGAGAGAGAGCGAAATAGGATAGATAGATCAAGATAAACTCAAAGGAGAGGGAAACACAGTTTTCTCAACAGCGGGGGAACCCGGGACCTTAAAAGGAACGAACCCCGCCGTGACTGCGACCCCTACCTCATGAACCTCTGGGCCATAAATGTCATCGTGACTCCCCCCTCATTGACGGCACTGAGGGAGTGTCTTGGGCGCATTACCACGCCAACTTGAAGTCAAGTTTACATCACAACGACTGACGCAAGTTATTCAAGCATCGCCCAGTCACTTGCACACTTTTTGGAAATTTTGCGGACATGCTGCAGCGCACTAGGCAGCTGCTTTAGCGGATCTACTTTCACGCACATCTTCAAGCTTCTCTGGAAGATCAACACGAATGCCGAGCAACCTGATGGCATGGTCCCACTTGTTGGGAGGAAGTGCTTTAGTGAAAATGTCTGCTGACTGCATGTCCGTTTGGACATATTCTATTGAGATGTGGTCACTTTCAAGCTGCTCTGCGATGCAAGCAAGGTTCACCTTGTGCGTGCGTTGTACACAGCGTAGCTTGGATGAGAAACCCTTCTTTGCTACGAGGATGGTCGCCTGATTATCCTCATGGATCTTGAGATGGAATGGCCTATCCAAAATCAGCTCCCATAAGCTGAGTGCAGGTAGTGCCTCCTGGTACAGGGAGTACGCAAGAGACACTATTTCCGCCTCGGTTGTCGATCGGGAGACCGAGGTCTGCCTTTTCGACACCCACGCGAGGGGAAAGTGCGTATGTGGACCACTCAACACCAAGAAACCTCCGGACGTTGATTTTGCGTCTCGTTCTCCAGCGAAATCTGCGTCCACATAGAGAGAAAGATGCAACTCATCAGTCGAATCCTGAACTGTGCCAACTAGGGTGCTGTTCACCGTGCTGTTAATGTAGCAGACAAGCCTATGTAACTGCTTATCGCAGTTCCTAGACCATTTCTGAACAAAGGAAGCAAGGTCACCAATCGGCTTGACCAGGTCCGGGCGTGCCAAACGTCCCAACCACAAAGCCTTCATCAACACGCGGCAAGCGGCGAAGCCGAGCTCACCCTCCAAGGCGTCATCTGCGGGGTCTAGAACTCGGGACAGAATGGAGTGGTGGCATCACGCAACTTTTCAGTTTTTAGCTGTGCAACCTCAAGATATAACGCAACCGTTTGACGAGCATAATCTCGCACGTCGAACGCCATGCCCCCTTTCAATCTGCCCACTGCGGCATTAAGATCGGGTTCAGTTGGGTCCTTCGGAGCATTTATCAAAAAGTGATTCCTGCCTAGCACCCGATATATGTCTTCTGGGGGCTCTATGTCTACCAGTCTTGTTAACTTTTCCCAGAAGTCTTTATGAAGGTGGCTGGGGCCGGCCAACGTCAAGTCGTCGACGTATGTCGAGAGAAGTAACCCGGACTCCTTGAACCAGAAGTTTCCAGGAAACTCTGCGACTTCACGCCCTCCAAGTTCACTAATGAAACCTTTGAGGTGTGCCTCCCAGAGTCCGCCAGCGTCAGGATGCCCATAAACAGCTTTAACGAGCAAAACCACAGGTTTCACGAAACGCTCGCGCCACCACCTCGGCCGGAGCTCAGGCGGGAGTGTGATCCAAGTTTGGTACTTGGACTTCAGCAGTGCTTGTACGTAAGCCTTTATAGCGTCCGCTGTTGTGGTGGAATTCCCTGGCAGGGACCCATAAGCGAGACAGTTATTAAGACCTTGTACGCTCGTGGGATTTGCTCCCAGTTCTTGGTATACAGCCGCTGCACCATGTTCGTCTTTCGCACAGTCTCCGCGATACACTATCCTACCTTTCATCTTTTGAAGGTGTTTCGCGAGTTCGGCGAACTTGACGGATGCTAGCAACATCAGCTGTCCGAAGTGGACTTTTACACTGGATCGTCGCGCCTCGGCAGCGACTTGATCATATTCTCGGACTGAATCAAGATCCCAAACACCGGCTTTTTCAAGACCTGTGGCTTCAAGTCGAACGGCTTCAAGGGCTTCCGGGGAAGCCAACATTTCGGCACGTGACAAGAGTCTGGTCACCATTGCGGTGATTTCAGGATCCTTCTCCTCCTTGACTTGTCCTAGGGAATGTGCGATGAGATTTTCAACATCAAGAACTTGTTCGAGGAGGTCGTGACACTTTTCATCGGACTCTACAGCAATACCTATATCTTCCAAACCAGAGAGAGGGGATATGTGTTTTAGCTGCTGTTCACGTTCCCGGTGGTCGAGAGGCAATGGCACTTGAACAGGCATCGCAGGCACAACGGGTCCTACTGTCGGATACAGCGCACGGGCAACAGTGAGACACATGCCTTCGGGATAGAAAGCGGTCTTTGCAGTTTTGTTACCTGCTGCAAGCGAGTGATTAAAACCTTTTTCATGCGGACACTTGAATGCTCCAAGTGCGGATGCGAGTGTGCTATTGCTAGTCATCACTTTCCATGGCTTCTTGATGGGGCAACCGTTGCTGTCCTTTAGACCTAGGGCACAACCATGGAAGGTCGCTGGGGTGAAGACCTGTGCCTATTCCCTGAAGAATGCAGCAACATCATCCCTAGCCCAGCTGTCGCAATCCCTTGGCCATTCAAACGCAACACTACCCCCCTGATGAAGGACAGTCTCAGCGTGACGTCTGAATCTGGAGAACAACTCTCTCGACTCTCTAACATTTTGCTTCAATTTCTTTTTGAATTGACTTCCTAACTTGGCCTTGTTAGGCGTTGCCATGCTGAACCAGATGTGCAGGGAATTGCGGCCCACAGATTGGGCTTCTCACAACCTTCTATCTGTGACTGCAATTGGATTTCTCCTTCACCGGTGCTAAGGTCGATAAACTCTTTAGCCAGCCTCACATGTGGTATGCCTAGACCTTCAAACGCGCGACCCATATTGGACTCTGGTGAACATGCGTATTCAAACATCACAGGCAACTTATCCATTCGTGCCTGACGTTTGCGGGCACGATGATTCCCTACCACAAATTGCTTGGGCGGCGGAGTTGCAACCTCTGCTTTGCACGGCATGCCAAAAATTGGCAATGTATCTGGACGACCGTTCTTTGACGCTTCGGTGAGAGGTGTCGGCGGCACGGACTCTAACATCACGGCTGCACCTGTGGTGATAACGCAATCGGACTGAATGGGTTTTCGGTCCATGAATCCCCAAGTGGGCGATTCGGTCGGCTACCAAACCAACCATCGTGGATGTTGTCTGCTCTGCCCCCCTGAAACACGGCACGAGTGATGCGAGCTGCAGTGAACCTTTCTGGGGAAACGGAACAAATGCAATTGCTGGGACTCTTCATGTGAGACAGCCGCCCCGCCACGGCACCGAACCAAACAGTTGGCATTTTCCTTGAACACCCAAAAATCTTCACCTTGCGATGTAGCGGCTGTCGCTGGCGCGGAATCGAAAAATGAGGCACCGGGTCTTGAGGGAGCTGGCTCCCCGGCTTCGGCTGCATCAAATTCATGCGCTACGTCTTCTGCACTAACTGCGATCTTAGGATCTTTATCATGCTCGGATGCGTGGATTGCTATGGCTAGCTCCTCATCCCCTTCGGTATGAACAATGGGAATGGGTTCCTTAGACTCAA